ACACAGGAAAGCTTTTACACACAGAAACTTTCACACACAGAAGCTTTGTACACCGAGAAGTCTTACACAGAGGAGCTTTTACGCACAGACGCATTTACACAGAGAAGCCTTTACACAGAGAAGCCTTTACGCACAGACGCGTTTACACAGAGAAGTCTTTGCACAGAGGAGCTTTTGCACACAGAATCTTGTACACACAGACGCTTTCACACACACACAGGAGGTTTTACAAACAGACAACTTTACGGCGCACAGATTTTTTACACAGAGCAGCTTTTACGCAGCGAAGCTTGTACACACAGGGGGCTTTTTTACACAGAAGCTTTTACATAAGGTTTTTTTAATACACAGAAGCTTTTACACACAGAAACCTTTACACACAGAAGCTTTTACACACAGAAACTTTTACGAAGGTTTTACACACAGAAGCTTTTAACACAAAAAAACCTTTAAACAAAGGAGCTTTTACACACAGACGGGTTTACACAGAGAAGTCTTTACACACGGAGGCGTTTACACAGGAAAGAGTTTACACGGAAGCGTTTACACAGAGTAGTTTTTACACAGAGAAATCTTTACACAAAGAAGTCTTGACACAGAGAAGCTTGCACACACAGAGGCTTTTACACACAGAAGCCTTTTACACAGAGCGGCTTTTTCACAGAGGAGCTTTTACACAGAGGAACTTTTACACAGAGAAGCTTGTACACTCAGAGGCTTTGACACAGAGAAGTCTTTTACACAGAGAAGCTTTTGCACACAGAAGCTTTACACAAACAAAGCCTTAACACAGAGGAGCTTTTACAGACAGAAGCTGGTACGCAAAGAAACTTTCGCAAACAGAAACTTTTACACACAGAGCGCGTTTTACACAGAAGATTTTACACACAAGAGCTTTTACACCAAAAACCTTTACACAGAGAAGTTCTTGCCCACAGAAGCTTTTACTTGCAGAAGCTTTTATGCAAAGAAGCTTTTGTACAGAGAAGTCTTTACCCATCTTTTATCATGTCTCATTTTTCATGATCATTTGCCATCTGTCACCTTCATATATATCTTCGTTTTCATGCTCTTTTGGTCAGCTCCCTCTGTCGTTTAATTTTCATTTCGTTCTGTCCGTCCACGCTTCGTGCTCGCTCCCTCTGCGGCGAAGCAAACTAAACGAGAACGCAGAAATAGATAGCGACTAGACAGATGGGATAGAGTTAATTACATTAACAGAAATAGCGACTAGAAGACTGTAGGCGTAGCTGACACAGCATGCTGTGGTGAATCGTGGCCCCTGATACCATCAGTGCGCACGATGTTTAAGTAAAGATCTTACGTCGATTTCGTGCAGAGCACAGCTGGCCACACCCCAAGATTTTCAAGAAAAGGCGTGCTGTGTGCCGTCTTGCTTTTGGGTTCTCTGGCCCACCTTGTTTTTTTTTTTTTAACGGTGATTTATGATGAAAATCATCGAATAGCTAATGGTTGGTGGTTATATGATATCATGTATATCAACCAACAAGAATCATATACTGGTTTCAACCAAGTTGATTCTTGTTGGTTATACATATACTGGTTGGTGGTTGAGCCACCCCTCTGAGAAATGATGGAGTTCGTCAGTTGGGAGTATGACATTTCCAATATCGGGAAAAGTTAAAAATGTTCCAAACCACCAACCAGATGTATATATATATGTATATATATATACACAACCATATGTCAATTTAGCCTCTAGTAATTTGACATAGTTATGGACAAACAAAAATATCTAAACCAACCGACAGAACTTGGAGGCCTCACCAAATTCTCCCCATCTTTTCATTGCGATCGAATCGGCGATCCTTCTAGTGAGATGGCTCTCTCCCTGGTCAATAGCGCTCATCTATGCATAGAAATGTTAGGAATGGAGCTATCATCTACCCTCTGGTAAACTAACATAGCTGTTGAAAATTGCCATTTACAGTGGATTTACCCATAAAAAAATGGTGGTTTTCCATAGTTATGTTAGTTTACCAGAGGGTATACATTATACTGATGATTTAACATATACATCTATTGACTTACCCAGAAATGGTGGCTGTTTTCTATGTGTATATTGGTGGAAATAAACCACCACTCTAGTAATTTAAAATAGTTATGGACAATCACCAGTTTTAGTAGGTGAAGGCATCTATAAATAGGCCATGTTCCATAGCTATGTTAAATTACCGGAGGGTCGATTAAGTAGACTAAGTACCTTGGTTCCAATAACGACACTGCTTGATATTATCCATTCAGAGTATGGGATGTATGGGATGGTTGCCAACACAGAACTGACCACACACAATACTTTATATTTCTGAGCCTACATGCTGTATATACACATATGTATATATATATATATATATGTATATATACATATTTCATTCAATCTAATAGTATTCTAACTTACACTAAACCACTTATAACCAATAACTATACAGCTATCACTTAGGCTATGCCTGGGACCCTCCAAGTCCTTCCCAGATGACCGCACCATCAAGGGATAGCGGCAGGCACAAAGTCGCTGCGTCTCCGGATGCGCCTCATCCCGCCCGACATGATATCTGGATCGACAAACAGAGCGTGTATAATATAGGATGTGTAGTAGACATGGCATATTCTATGTATATAGTGTATATTATATATATATGACGTAGAATTATATTATAGTGTATCATGTATATAAAAGCTATTTAGTAAAGTTTAGTATACATATTATATAGTAATTATCACTTATCACTTATCATAAGTTGCAGTAAGTATTAACAACATTCATCTGTTTGACTCACAGATGCGTAGGGCTGGACAAAAATTAAGCGCATTTGTTTGCTGGCACCTCCTTAGCACCAGCAGTGGCACCAGGGGTATCATGCCAGGGATTTCAACATGATACCAGAAAACACCAGACGAGACGTTGATAAGAAGAATCCTTTTTGTTTATGGCATCTGATGATGTCCTTTTCGTTTTTGTAAGTCGATCCTTCGCCTTTCTGCGCTTTTCGAGAGCCCCAGCGTCCGTGCATCAACTTCGTGGGGGGAGAGAATTTTGACCCAGGGACCCACAAGGTGTCCTCAGTTATAACTTGGTTTATACAACCACCAAACCATGGCTTAGAATCAGCATAATGTCTAGATAACAAAAACAATGAAGAATAATATTAAATATAATCCAACTTAGCCATCATAAATTATCATAAATAGTCATAAATCACATCTAAGTCCCCACTTTGGTTGCTTAAACCATGATCTTTACTCTTGTTCTAAAGTTTTAAATGCAATAAACACGACGCATCCCCCGGCTGAGTTCCGCGACAGCATCGCAGGAGGGTGGATGGAGGAGAATATCCTCGGAAAAGTCGGCTGGATTTTTCTATGATTCATCATGATAATTATTGGGTGAACCATAGAAACAAAATGTTGATATATATATATATTAATATATGTTAATCATGTTGACCAAACAGATATTAATATATGTTAATCATGTTGACCAAACAGACCAATCATGAAAAAAAATGGGTGAACCATCCCATATGCTCCATGGTGCTGGAATATGCACACCAACATTTACCCCATAAATGAGCCAAATGTAGGTATATATATATAATGGAAAAACTGGTTGGTGGTTTCAACCCCTCTGAAAAATATCAGTCAGTTGGGAAGGATTGTCCCATATACTATGGAAAATAAAAACAAGTTTGAAACCACCAACCAGAAAAATAATTGGGTGAACCACAGAAAAAAAATGGTTGATTTAACTAAAAATTGAATAGTGGAATTTGGGGTTGTGTGAGTTGGGTACCCCAATTCCATCCATTGGTTTATCATCTCATTATCTCTATCAAAATAGCATTTTGAGGACCCACTTTTCCGACAGACCCGTATGTGAAAATTGAAAGCTTCATGAATTTAAAGGCCAAAACAACCAGATTTTCCGGCCAATTGAATGGATTGAATGGATTTCCAAATTCACACGGGTGGAAAACAACACTTTGTAATGATTATATAATGATCGGAAAATATTTGCTCTTTATTCTTTATTTCTCATAATTAATTACAATGGGGCAAGAAATATGAACACTTAATTACTGTACATAAGAAATGAAAATTAAAGGCTTGGAAAGGAGGGAATCGTCACAACCTGCCAACCGATTGAAGGCAACCCGGGAGACCAGTGAAAATTGTGGATAGGACACATTCTTGCCACCTTCCCGGTGCCGAAACGATTAGCAATGACACACTAACGAGTTGGATCTAGGCCCCAGGCGGAATTATACAGGCAGCCACCTGGCACAAGGCCAAGTCAAGCCCCACGGTGCAGGTTTCAATGCTGGGCTGTTGGTAGGCATCGCTTTAAGTATTCAGATCTGAAAATGGGGTATCCCCCGAACTTGCCATTTCAATATGATAAACAATGATAGATCAGTGGATATGAAGGAGTACCCTATTCTCAGACAAACCCATCTGTTTTTGTGTTTTTTTTGGATCACAATGATCACCCAATCAGACCAATCAATAAACATTGGCACTGTCATCATGGCCGTGGAGGGTCAGGGTTTAGGGTTTAGGAGGAGCATTGGCACTGTCATCATGGCCATAGACCAATCAATAAACATTGGCACTGTCATCATGGCTCAAGTCCGTGGAGGAACTGTATCAGGGAACGTCATTGACATCGCCCTGAAAAACATCGCCAGATCCAACAGTCGCTTTTTGGTTCCGGGTTGATTGGTTCTCGTGAAATTGCCTAGCGCCAACGTTTGGAGATGTTTGGAATTTCTAGCAATTGTTCGTGCAACGCGATAGCTATGGAAAATGACACGTGTGTAAATGATCTACCTGTTCAAACAGGTTCTTTCCCATGGCTATGTTAGATTACCGCTAGAATAGTTGTCTGGCTTACTACATATCCCTCCATTAATTGGTAGTCCCCTATCATCATCTTCTTTGTGGTTTCAACGCCTCTGAAAAATATTAGTCAGTTGGGCTTACTATTCCCAAACCACCAACCATGCATGAACTGTTGTTTTCTTTAAGCCTGGCTTAACAAATATGGGACTCCAATACGGATCTGCCTGAGGCGCGATTGCCACGTTGAGGACTCCAAAATGCAGGTTGATCTGCTCCATGACTGGCTTCGCAACCTCACTGACTCGAACTGGCGGCTACTTGGAGCATCCATGAAGTACTGGTAACTGGTTACTTTAAGTGGCCCCCCCCCAGTGATGTTAGTTGGTTTATAAGCCCATGAATACTATAGATATATCACCAACAAAAACCATAGTTATTGGAGTTATAAACCAACCAGTTAGAAGTTGGTTTAGATTCGCGCCAGTAACTAGTTCGTTATAAATACCATAAACCATAGTGACATTGGACATATATAAACCAACTTAGCGTTCTCGAACGGGGGCCTCACATTGTAGTATCTGGGGTTAGTTCGCCCACTTATAAATGGGAAAATAAGATAGGCCCAGGAAATGGGAACTTACTTTTTTGACCAGTGGCTGCAACCCACACGGAAGATTTTGATGGGAGATTTTGATAGGATGTGTATGGGATGTGTATGGGATATCTGTGGGGATTAACTAGGAAAGAAGGGAAATGCCACTAATCATATGGGTCATTCTCGATATCCAAAAATAAACCATTCCCAGTCATGGGTGGTAAACATGGCATTGTTTTACCCACATGACCATACAGTTATGGCCATTTACCAGTTATAACTGGTTATAAATGGGATTATACATTCTATAAATGGGGTTTTCTTAGTACTTATAACTAATAAATGGCCATAACTGTACCATTTATAGGGTATTTACCATTGCCATGTTTCATTACCGGAGGGTACATGCCTTTGAAACCACCATCATTTCATCCCCGGTGGACCATCCGTAGGAAATTTGTAAGCCAAATCATGGACAGACGATCTATTGATCACCACCTTTTTACCATTAATGAACCACTATATTAACCATGATTTACCCACTCTTAACTACATTAAAACCTCCATTTATAGTGGTGTTTCCCATATGTTCCGATGATTTTCGGCAAATCCACTAAAAAAAAAACAAAAAACATATATTCACCGTTATTCATCACCATTCACCATTGAGCGGCATCCCCGTGAATGATGAATGGTGATGAAGAATGGTGATGAAAAAGCCTCACTTTTCATCCAGTCCTTCCGCGTACCCGTCGTTTTTCCGGTTGCCGGCGGCAGCGGATGGTGGATGGCGTCATTCCCAGGGACAGGCCAAGCCAGGCTCCATTGTCCTCAGGTGCTCTGTTCTCGGCTGGTTCCGGTGGCGAACAAAGAAGGTGAAAACGATGGTAGAAACATGGTGATTACATGTGATTAGACATGGTTTAACTATGAAAGAACATATAACTATCAAAATTGATGATGATTACTATCAAAAATGATGATTTCATTATCATTTTCGATGAGGATTTAACATGATTTAACTATATTTAACTATTTCTGATGTTATAATCTGTTGCGTCGCCCCTTCAAAGAATTCCCAGCAGTCGTGAAGGGGCTTTAGTGAGTCAGCCGTCCTTGTAAGGGTTCATCTTCCACTCTCGAGTTTTTTAGGATGGAAACGGGGCATGGATGTGAAGGAATGTGTTCAAGTAGGGTACCGGATGACCACTCAAGTAAGGGAAAATGAGCATAGCTCCCGTTAACTAGTTGGATATATGATATATCTACCATAAACATCCATAAACCGTATACCCTCTGGTAAACTAACGTAGCTATAGAAAATCACCATTATTAATGGGTAAAGCAACTATTTCGACTGGGCAATTTTCAATAGCTATGTTAGTCATTGCCGTAGTGTTTTTACCCAAGAGTTATTGGATGTTTACCATCTGGGCTGACGGCATCACACCTTGGACTCTACCCATGAGATCCACCACCACAGGTCTTGTTTCAGCTTGTTACAGAAGAATTCTGTTCCATCAACCATGAATCCCAGTATTGGAGAATATTGGTTTATTTAAATTACCCACGAACTGGAAATCTCCGTGCTATTATTAGGTAAATCAACTATTTCGACTGGGCCATCTTCAATAGCTTTATGTATGTTTACCAGAGGGTAAATCCTGATTTTCGCTTCTGTAAATCACCATTTTGGTGAATAAAAACACCCATGGAGCATCTCCTTCTTGGGGGAAAAAATCACCTCAACGACTTCGACCGAGCCGCAGATGCCGAGAAGTGAACCAACTCGCTTCGACCAAGTTGAGCCGATGGGTCTGTAGCAGGAAGCTGCGGGAAGTGTTGATGACCTGAGAAGCTGAAAAAGATGGATATCCTCTGGTAATTTAACATAGCTATTGAAAATACCCCATTTATAGTGGATTTACCCATTAATAATGGTGATTTTCCATAGCTACGTTAAATTACCAGAGGGTATATTTTTACAGGCTGATCCCCCGAAACCATAGGAAAACGGAGGAGATGTTCAGAGTTCACTTGGTGAAAGAACTATGGTTTCGGTTTTCCATATGACTATAACCATAGTTTGATCATGTTGTATTCCCTCATAAACTATTGGTGAAATTATATATGTTTACCGGGGGATACAACATGATAAAACTAAAAAAGGTGGTGCCCCCCAGTTATAAATTGGTTATAAGGCCATGAATACTAGTTCGATATATCACCAACAAAAACCATAGTGAAATTGGAGTTATGTTCACCAACTTAGCCTTCGAACGGGGGCACCACCAGCCGTAGCATACTTCAGTTACTTAATGGACCTGTGTGGATCACTGGTGTAGGCCGTATGGCCGTACGGCTGTCCATCCCTGTCCATCCCACGTTTATGGATTCCAATGGATTGATGACCATCACCGCCATTATGGCAACCAAAAAAAACCTATTTTGATCATGGCACTTTAAGCATGGCTTAATGGATGAGGATTTCTCTGAAAGATTCTGAAAGTATGCATTTGTCCAGAAAATTTGATGCTTAAGATCATCTGTTTCTCGAAACAAAAAACATGTTATTTGAACATCCCCATGTTCAAGCAAAGCTATGTTTAGTGGATTTGAGTTGCCTATGTTTCATGGCACATGCATCAGCAACAACAGGAGCATGTCAGCTTTGTCCTTTCCACCTTTTAGGATACATTTAATCCAATATAATCAAGCAGGTTTCAAGTTTCCAACAAGCCACGTCCTTCATTAACTGCTATAAGTATAAATCATTATAAATCATTATAAATCTACAAATCCACCAGACCGTGCAACTACAATTACATGGAATACTTATGGAATACTTACCCTCTGGTAATTTAACATAGCTATTGAAAATCACCATGCTATTAATGGGAAAATCCACTATTTCTATGGTCATTTTCAATAGCTATGTTTGACATAACCAGAGGGTATGGATTTGCCTGAAAAATGGGGGGTACGCCATGGTAGTTGCCATAGTGCCATAGTCATCACGTTCTCAATCACTGGACCACTGGACACCCTGCCGTTGGCTATCGAGAAAAGCTTTCTTTCACCTAGTGAACTCTGGTAAACGCTTACAAAAAAATATGGGAAATTACCATGCTATTAATGGTAAATCAACTATATATCAACTATTTCTATAGCCATTTTCAATAGCTTTTTGTATGTTTACCAGAGGCTAGTGAACACTATCCATCATGGGTAAATAGCGATTCATCCCTCTCAAAGAGCTCTTTGGATCTATCCCATATCGCCAGGTTTGATCGGTTGATCGTTACCCGGTGTCATCAAAGGCTGGTGTCATCAACGGCTGGAAGTTCTTCCAATCAGTGCAACTCCCGGACGATCTAAACATATCCCATGGGGTAAAGATTCATAGTAATGGGATACTGATGATCCAATGGGATATATAAAACATGAAAAATCATTACTTTTATGTATCCTCATCAATGGGGCAAACATGGGGTAAACATAACAAATAATATCTCATGAAAATATCCCATTACTAATGTATCCATGTTATCCCATTGTTATCCCATCACTACAAGGTGGTGCCCCCGTTCGAGAACGCTAAGTTGGTGAACACAACTCCAATTTCACTATGGTTTTTGTTGGTGATATAAGTCTATAGTTCATGGGCTTATTTCACCAATTTATTACTGGGGGGGCACCAACTTGTGTCCCATCTCGATAATATTCCATCACCATGCCATTTCACTATCCCATGAAAATATCCCATGAATTTCAATCATGGTTATCCCATCATTATCCCATCATTATCCCATCATTATTCTAATATATTGCTTTCAATTAATTATTATCCCATTTCACCATCCCATTTAATATCCCATGAATATGAATATATATATATATATGAATATATCATTTCATTATCCCATCACTATCCCATCTCAATAGTATCCCATCACCATTCTATTTCACTATTCCATTTTGATGCTTAAAGCAGTGCCAATCTTAGATGCCCTGCAAAAAAATAACTTCTTAGCTGGTGAACGTAGATAATGCCATTGATACCAAAAGACTAAAGGATTAAAGTACCCATCTAACATTGATCTAGACATGTTTGATGACACCCAAGAGTAACTCCATTATTATCCCATTCTTATCTGACTAATATCCTATCATGTTGTCTCATTAATATACCCTCTGGTTATGTCAAAATAGCTATTGAAAATTGCCCAGTTGAAATAGTTGATTTACCCATTAATAGCATGGTGATTTTCCGTAGTTTTTTGTAGGTTTACCAAAGGGTATACATTATACTGATGACTTAACATATACATCTATTGACTTACCCAGAAATGGTGGCTGTTTTCTATGTGTATATTGGTGGAAATAAACCATATATAAACCATTAATATACCATGTTGATGCTTAAAGCACCATGATTTTCCCATCACTACTTGGTGGCTCATCCCACGGCTCGTAAGTGGATTATAACCCCAGTGATTTCAGTGGATTAACCCTACTTATCCCATGTAAATCACTGCAATTATAACCCACTTACGAGCCGTGGGATGAGCCACCAAGTATAGTTGATTTACCGATTGAAGATGGCAGATGGTGATTGTTCATAGCAAACTGTCAGTTTACCACAGGGTAGATCTTGTGTTTGTTATAGTTACTGGTTGGTGGTTTGGAACATTATTTTTTTCACCAGCCATTTTTACCGCGCCCAGGTGCGACGTTTCTCTGCCGCAGGTGTCGCAGGATGGTGCACTCCGTGTCGAAGCCGCCCATCAGTCGACCAGCACCGCCTTGGAAGCGACCGGCCCCGACCCGTGGGAACTCGCCATGGGGGCTGCTACAGTGAGGAAATTCCCATGGAAATCCCCCCATTTTTGGATGGTTTCCACAGTTTCTAATGGAGAAAATGATCATACAAACCATGGGGATAGAGTTATGGCCCCAAATACCACTTAGAAATTAGCTATAACTTACAACCCCGTTTTTTGGAAACAATGGTGATGGATTAGTGAACATGATGGTTCCATGACAATTATATAGAATGATAGTTTCATGATGTTTCCATGAAAATAGGAAAATCACCAATAGAACATATGCGACATATGATGGTTTAGAATGGAAAAACCTCTGATGGGGATACCATGCAACATGGAACTCATGGATTTCATGATATTTCCATCATGTTCCATCACAGTTATGGTACCATGGCTACCAGTTATAACTGGTTATTTCAATGGGATTATACATTCTATACATGGGGTTGTAAGTACTTATAACTATATAATAAATGGCCATAACTGCATATTCTGTGTTTTTGTCCCATGATGTTCCAGAAATTGTTCGATCATGTTCTTCCATTGGAAATCATGCAGTTTTCGCATGATTTAGCCATATGGGTTTCGTGGAAAAAATGGATGAATCAACCCCTACAAAGTGGGGCCCCCGTTTACGTTATAATTTAAGGTGAATCCCCATGAATACGATCGTTTTTTTTTGCGTTTTTATCCATCATAAACCATATAGTTATTATACTTCTTGGCACCAACTTAGCGATATATCGTGGCCACGGGGGCCCGTTTGCATTGTATAGTCCATGGACTTAGACCCTCGAGGTCCCCAAAAACATTTCAAGTTTCGGTGGATGGGCCGTTGGGAAATCCGAATCACCAGTTGAAAGTTCGGTGGTAAGTTTTATCCCATTATTTTTTTGGGGGTTCAACCATCCTTTTGGTGGTTGATGCAGGATTTCGCAACCATCCACAGTATATTTCCCATCTTTATCTTGGTACTCTTAAAAAAATGGTTCATGGGTACTTGGAGGGTCTAGGCATATTCACCCATGAGAATTTTCATAGCCAATCAGCCAATCTAGATCATTCCAAGGATGGAAAATACCAACTCCCTCCAGTAAATCAATGGATTGATTTAAGGGAAGATTTGCAGGAAAGCCCCATATTTAATGGGAAAATCTATGGTTTCCTGTAAATTTTCCCAGAAACCAATCCATTGAGTATAAATTGAACTGGATATGGAAAACATATGGTTTGAAAAGGAAAATGATCTACAAATTGGTTCATGTGTTTACCAGTTGTTTTGTGAAATTACTGGAGGGTACCATCCAACTGGAATTACCATGTGGAAAATTAGTGCAGTTCCAGTTGTAAGTGGATTAATATAAGCACAGCGTTTTGGGGGCACCATATCCCAACATGGGGCTTAGTTCACCATGGTTATTCCATTTTTCGATGGATATCCCTATAAAATCATACAAAACATATTCACACATTATGAACAATACCATGTTGAAGCATATGAATCTGGTTGGTGGTTTCAACACCTCCGAAAAATATGAGTTCGTCAGTTGGGATGATTAGTCCATTCCCAATGGAAAGGCAACAAAATTCCATGGTTCCAGTCACCACCAACCAGGAATAGTACAAGTATTATCCTTAAAGCCCCCATTTCCATCCCTTAAAACGCCAACAATTCCCCCATCCTTGCCGCGACCCGGTGGCACTTCACGCGACGATGGCACTGGTCCTTGCAGCACCAGCAGGGCTCAGCGGGACCGTGGAGAACGTCTTCACAGCGACGGAAGCTGTCTTCGACCTTGGAAGTTCACATCAACAATGGCTACCCTACAAGGTGGTGCCCCCCCAGTTATAAATTGCTGAAATAAGCCCATGAATACTAGTTCGATATATCACCAACAAAAACCATAGTGAAATTGGAGTTATGTTCACCAACCAACACATGGGGGATTCCTAAGTCATGGGGATGCGGGATACCCAAAAAAACGCTCGCTGGATGGTCTATTTCAATCTATTTCATGGAAAATCCCATTAAAAAAAATAAGTCTCAAACATGGAGGCTTTAAATTTCAAGATATGGGACTCAACTCTCAAAACTAAAAAAAAATGGTGGTTTAACGCTTCAAGATGTGGGATTTAGCCTTCATGAATAGGGATTCACTAGGGATTAACGACACATTTTTGAACATCAAATGGTGAAAAAAGCTGCTTTAAAGGAAACCGTTTAAATATATTTATAGGGATATAACTCTTCAAACATAGATCTAAATTCATCATCCGGGCTTTGAGATGGATTTTGAAAATTACAGTACATCACAGTACCCAGTTGACCCAGGGGGAAACCACCACTGTTCCCTCCACGGATACCGAGCAGCCGTAAAGACAGCCTGGGTGTTTCAAAGTGCGCGCTGGGCGGGGCCAGCAACGTGTTTTGTGTTTTTTTTGCTCAAATGTACTATGTATATCCATGTATTTCAATGGTGGACTGCATTCGCAAGTGCCCATAGAATTGACAGTTTCTTGTTCAAGAACTTTTTTGGGCGCAGTAGAAAATCCAATCTGCAAAGATTCCCAAGCCTTCTTGTTTTCAAAACACGTCAAAACCCAAGATTGAATAAGTTTTCAATGTCGGGTATCTACCAAATCTACCAGAATTTCAAAACTGTTTCTAACATCACTCGAGACATGTAAAGTGGAACTACGAAAGAAGCACTACTTTCTCACTTGGATTTGCTTAAGGAACCCTTAAAAATCACATTTATATCGACTCCTCATTTCTAGTGAAACCACATATATTCCTTATAGATTCCTCATTTCTACAATGTGGCCCCCCCCAGTTATAAGTTGGCTTATAAACCCCATGAATACTATAGTTATTTGCGTACAATAAACCATAGTGACATTGGAGTTATGTTCACCAACTTAGCTATCGTAAACGGGGGCCCCACATTATAGCTGAATCACCATTGAACTACCGTCAAACACTATTAATCACTGTTAACTACCATTAACAACTAGTAACCACTATCAACGTATTCACCATTAACCAGTATGAATCACAACCGTTATTTCTATTGGATTTCCCATTGGTTACTGGAATCATTATATAAATCATCGACCAATCGCATTTCGCGAATCTCAGCAAAGTCACTTCCAAGGCTAAACGCGTTGCCACAAAGAATTGATCGCCTGGGAGGCGACCGATGGGCATTTTCTATAAACGTTCACAAACAACGATGGAACGATCCACCATTTTGTAGCTGGGAAAATCACCATGTTTAATGGGAAAATCACAATGTTTAATGGGAAAATCGAAAGATCCACCATTTTTAATGGGAAAATCATGGAAAATCCACTATGACTCTATGTTAATGTTCCAGTTCGCAAACTGTTGACATAACCAGAGGCGACCGATGTTTGGTGAAGATCGACTGGGCGACTGGATCCATTGGAACTGGGAACTTTTTTGGGCGGGGAATCCTTGGGTGGGGATCTGATAAACGAAGAGATAAGACAAACTAATTGATCAGCAAAAAAACCGAATAGTATAGAAATGTATAGAATATAGTTGTCTACTACATATTCGAAATTGGTAATGCCAATTTTAATCCCTCCAGATACTTAAAACTACTAGATTCATCGGCAAAATACACAAATTAAAGTAGTTGGAGAAACTGTAAGAATCCTTTTTCTTGCGTATACCCCCTTTCCAGAAAAACCAAGCTGGTTTTCTGGTTGGATGCTGTCAGACCCTCCAGAGTTCAATGGTCAATTGGGGATTTAGTTCCATGTAGAGACTGAACAATCAAGAAAGAGAGAAACATGCTGTTGTCTGTTTTTCCAGGATGTCGCAATAGGTTGTAGCTTTCTCACTGGCTCTGAAGTTGAATTGCGATTTCTCGCTGCATCTTGGGTCACTTTCATATTACGCTGGCTTCAACACCAAGCTAAACTGGTTGGTGGTTTCAACCCCTCCGAAAAATATTTGTCAGTTGGGATTATTATTCCCAATATATGGAAAATAAAAAATGTTCCAAACCACCAGCCAGTAAACTGATATTGGGTAATGTATTCTTCATGTGATTGACAGCCAACATCATCGGATCCAAAAGTGAAACATGCTTGTGGGGTCCCCTACGCTGGAATCCACATACTTCAGTATGTGGTTTCCCTCAGCCACGGGAGTGGCAGTTCATGTTGGAACGACAACACAACAACTGTTTTAAATCTTTAAGATAATGTCAGTCTGCGTCATCAAGAGCCAGCTCTAGAATTGTTGGTTGATATCAAGACCAAAATTGACATTTTTTTTGCCAAACAACATTTGAGGATGAGTGTCAAACAGTCAAACATCATAAACATGTTCAAATCACAAACACCATGGATTGTTTCGTATGCTATCACAATGCCATCATCTATGCAGATTGATTTCAAAGCCGGGTGGATTCCTCTCGCCCCCAGAATACCTCGATGACTGTTTATGACTGGTGTTTACCCCCAGATGCAGCTGGTGTTCCAACCATCTTCAAGCAAACTAGTTGGATAGCCTCCATTACATTCGAAACTAATTAGTTCAATATATCTACCATAAACGCATCGACCTGGTTATGTTTACCAACTTCCCTATCATCAATCACGAATATATCCCACAATGTGGGGCCCCCTAGTTATAATTTGGTTTATAAATCCCATTAACTATAGTTATAAACCATCGTTAAGTCACCTATAAGGCAACTTAGCTATCTAAGGGGCCCCACATTGCAATTGTTCTTCTTAAAATCCTGCGACACCTCGCCATCATTAAAAACCAAGTGGCACATCAAACAGCCATGGTAATACGCTTGGCCATAGACTGTTGCTGCCTCCGACCAGTCAGGTAGAACCAGCGGTCGACCCAAGAAAGTGACCTCGTCAGCAGCTGAAAGTGGTTGAAAGGTGGTGTTTTCCTCAGGTATCAAGAAGAACTTGTGAGTTTTGTGGCATTCAACCATGTTTGGAATTATGTTTACCAACTTAGCTAACAAATTGGGGTACCATATTATATATATATATATGTATATATAGTGTGTGACCAGAGACAATGTGTATGAGCAGCATGGAGCATCTAGGATGGGTCAAAGTTGGCTTCTTGAATACTAACAATATCTAACAATGATGAGTCCATTTGCTGTCAACTCTGGGGATTAACATGGATTAACTCCATTCCGAAACAAGAATCACAAATGCAAAAATGTGGAACACATCTAAACATGCATATACATGCATATACAACATTTACCAAGGTTGTATTGACATAGATTTCCAGGTCGCAGGTCGCCCCCTCCCACCATCTACACCGCTTGGATGATTTTGGAAGTTCACACATTGTTTGTTGTGCAGATTTGTGGAGTAACCCTTAACCCTTTCTGGTTGGTGGTTGAGACCTAACCCCTCTGAAAAATGATGGAGTTCGTCAGTTGGGATGATTATTCCATTCCCATATATATGGAAAGTCATGAAAATTCCATGGTTCCAAACCACCAACCAGTCATGTCATATTGCAATTGTGGCCCTTTACCAGATTATAAATGGTGATTTTCCATATAGTTTTATGTTAGTTTACCAGAGTAACCCTTACCCTCCAGTAAATTAACATAGACCCTGCCAGATAGGGGTTGGAAGATTAGTTTCCATTAAAAACTTGTTATTTTCAGGGTCCAACTGTTTATTTATCAGAGGGTAACTAGCTTTGTAAGTGACACACTAGCTACTTACTTGGCTGAACAGTGACAGTCACTCCCTGGCTCTCCAAGGATCGCATTGAAGTCATGGCGGATTGATGGTGAGGCCGGGCTTTCAGTTGGTTAAAAAAACAACACTTTTCAGGATATATCTAGCATAAACCCTACAAGGTGGTGCCCCCAAGATAGCTAAGTTGGTGAACATAACTCCAATAACTATAGTTTATTTTACTTATATAAAACTATAGTTATATAATGGGTTTATAACCAATTTATAACTGGGGGGGGGGCACCACCTTGTAACTATAGTTATTGGAGGTGTAAACCAGCTTAGCCAACTACGAGGAACCACGTTGTGCCCATGGGGTCCCGGAAATTACAATTCAGTTCATAAACCAATCCATACTGTGTATAAAATGTGTATAATAGGCAAAACGAACTAAATCTGTTTTTTTTTTTGGTATACCTACCCCTCTGAAAAATATGAGTTCGTCAGTTGGGATGATGAAATTCCCAAAATATGGAAAGTCATCAAATTCAGTTTCCAAACCACCAAACCGAAATAAATAGTCTTAATTAATCACCTATCTGGGGTGAAGCTCCTCATTGTACTGAATCTTGGATGGAATTTTCCTTTTCGACGTCCTCAATGACATCTCCATGTTTGATTGCTAAATATTGCTTGGATCTCCATGTTGTATGGTTAAGTCACCATGCTTCACCATGTGAAACATATGTTTCATTGTTAAGCCGCATTTTTTCGCATTTTTTGCTGGTGAACTAACTACATACTATTGATTTTGACCAACTTCTATTGAATGCTTGGTATAACCAAGGCACATCCGGCCGACTGCGAACGATCCAGTCGTAGCGCTGCGAACGCTGTCGCTCCGCTGTCAGCAGCATGGCAGCAGCAGCGGGGAAGGGCCAGAACTGTGCATAGATCTTCCTGCCAGGGAATTCCAAGGTGATTGGGGACCAGCCCAAAATAAGGACCGGATTCTGGAAAATGAGGATGGATCAAGACCTATGAGCTACATGCTTTTTGGAGATAAGTTAAGTGATACAAACGTTTCAACACTTTTATGAAATAAGAAGACATACCCATTCTCTTTCCGGCGTTGTACAGGGAAATCTTCGTCTTGCTCAATGGAGAGGATGGCGAAATCATCGTGCTCCATGGCTATTTCATTGGTATGCGACGGTATGCGTCATAAACAGGGCGTTCCTCTACGGAGCGCATCCTTTTCTTACTGGTGCTAAACGTAGGGAATTTTCGGGAATGATCCAATAATCATCCCAGCAACCCCCAGCAACCCATCCATTCCCTACGTTTAGCACCAGTAAGTTTTGTTTGCTTCACCTTTGTCGCACGGTCTCAGCTGTTAAGCAAGAAAGATACGCATGGTCAGTGTGTTCCCGCCACTGAAGCATGTTAGACTTGATAGCTTTCCAGGCCTGGTCTATGCTTCCAGTATGAACACTTATTTGGATTCCGTGTCTGGTAAACATACAAACAACTATGGAAAGATCCACCATGCTATTAATGGGACAACTTTCAATTTCAATGGCCATTTTCAAGTTCGCAAACTGTTGACATAACCAGAGGCTACTTCCTTGGTTCTTTCAAATTCACCTTGCGCATGCTTCCCCGACGCTCGACATGTCCTAGGTGACGGTCGCCACCGTTGGGTAAACTGCTGCACCCGTCCCAAAGGAGACAACTCTTCGACATGCCCAATGTCGTAGCCTCTGGTTATGTCAACAGTTTGCGAACTTGAAAATGGCCCATAGAAATCGTTGATTTACCTATTAAACACGGTGGATCTTTCCAGTTCGTTTATTGTATGTTTACCAGAGAGTACAAGTTGCTTTTTCTGCACCCACGTCCAGATACCATCATATTCGATGAAACCACATCGTTTTCTGGCCATTTTGAGAGCGCAGTCGACCTCTGCCTTAAACAAACACGTGGCAAGATGCTGAACACATCCGCCATGATGTCTATATATGCAGGGGTTGTGTTTGCAAACCAGAGTGTGATGACTACCCTCTGGTTATTTAACGTAGCCATGGGAAATGGCCCATTTATAGATGGTTTACCTATTAAAAATGGTGGATCTTTCCATGGCGAACTGTTAGTCATAACCAGATGGTAATATAATTGCAGTACCCCAAAAATAATGATCAGGTCCGAGTAAAATTGGTACACCGCCTGTTGGGAAAACTGATGACTTATGATCTTTATTGATCCTGGCTACAGCAAATATTAATATCTAAAACCACAATAAACCCGTTATTTCCACCATATAATGTAAACCCCTCTATCATTTTTCATTGCTTAAATTCCTGTGTTTGATAGTCAACCCACAATTTTTCACGATTAATCCTAAGGTAAACATCAACCCACAGATCACACCGGGAAAACTGGAGGATCAGCCCACAGATCGCAACTGGTGTCCCGTACATGTTAGTACTGTATCTGAGGGGCCAGTTCACCCATGTTTTTCTGAATGGGATAAGCCACTTAGTATCCCATGACGGATTCATGGTGCTGGTATATATGCTAACATTTAAGGGGTATATTGATAGAATCCATGTTACCATATATAGCAGCACCATGGATCCTATGGGTATGGGGACTTACGATTACCAGACTTATGACAATTAATCAGTTACGATCTCTGGGATGATCCACCATGTATGCTTGATTTTTCACAGTAAAACCTCTATTTACTTCGGGCATTTCCCAGGAAATCACCATGACGTCAGGGTATTCCCATTGTATCCCAATTCCTATCCCAAATTATATCCTATAAATCCTAACAGTTGCTACATAAAATAACCAAAGATTTTCCAATTATTCCCATCAATTATTGCAAAACATATCCAAGAGTATCTATCTAAGACTGGTGATGGGAACTGATAGGATGATTTTATATGATGTTTACCATCTGGTTATTACTAACATAGCCATGGAAAATCACCATGCTATTAATAGGTAAACCCAGGTAAACCATCTATTTCTATGGGCCAGGGCTTAACCATGGCTATGTTAGTCATAACCAGAGGGTACATTAAACCTCTATTTAGTTCCAGCATTTCCCAGCCAGCTATGGCCATGATCACCGTCCTTGCTGAGACGCAACTGCTGCTGCGGGGCACCGTCAAATACTCGGAGGCCTGGTAGAAGTGATAGTCCTGGGATGAGAGGTTCGAAGCAGTTTGCATTGAACCATGAAAAAAAGGTGAATTAAAACATGTTAACACCATGAATAATTGTGGCTTAACACAGTTGAATCATGCAAAATCAGGGATTTGCCCTGCAAAAGTGGTTTGTGATTGGAATTACCCATGAAAAATGTGGATGTTTTCATGGGTGGAGACCCATCCTCGGCGCCAGTCCCAGCTTTGCTGTGTGGAATCATGGCATTCAGCAGTCGGCGACTTGCATGATTTTGGAGAGAATTCCCCGAATCCCAACCCCCCACAATGTGGTGCCCCCATTCGATAGCTAACTTGGTGAACATAACTCCAATTTCACTATGGTTTTTGTCGGTGCTATATCTATAGTTAATGGGCTTATTTATAACAAATTTATAACTGGGGTGGGCGCCACCTTACACACGTCTGAATTGTTGTGTAAAACTGTTGGCGACCAAATTGACCATCTCATGGTTAACTGGTTGGTGGTTTGAACCCCTCTGAAAAATATGAAAGTCAGTTGAGTTGTGTTTTTTTTCCTTGCTAAACTGCAATACACAAATTAGTACACCTACGCGGGGTCTACGCAAATCACTCCTCCCAAGCAAGACTGCCTACGCGAGGGTTACCTTTCAAGAAGTGCCTACGCGGTTGTCTCCGCGAAAGTTGCTGCAACGATCTCTTTACTTGACGTGATGTGATCACAATTCTGGTTCAGAAGAGGAATAGAAAGAATTGGAAGATGACGATTCTTTGGGTGACTTGTGAAAGGAAGGCGGAAGCCTCATCAAGAGTGGAGCACTGTGTCATGATGTGATCGGCAGTCATGATGAACTCATGGAAACATTAGAAAAGTGAAACGGTAAGACTTTGATGGGCTGCGGCTACGGGCCACAATTTGACCTAGGGCCTCCGCGTTTCCTACGCGAGGGCCTACGCGGAGCCTACGCGAAAATCCGAACCGAAAATGGCTGTTCGAAAACTTGGCACTTGTAATTTTCTGAGAAAGCGGTTGTTTCTTTAATCTCCCCTTTCTTCCAGCTAAACATATGAACCATACAATCCAGTTTGCATTTAAAATCATTGTAAGCCATCAAGAAAAACAAGAGTTCGAGGTCAGAAACAAACAATCTAGAACATCTAAACAAGTGCCTACGCGAGACTGCCTACGCAGCCTCTCCTACATTATCCTACGTATATGCCTACGCGAAACCTACGCACCAAGCAGAATAGCCTACGCATGAATGATGTGAGTTCCTCCTCAATCTAAATTCCATCATCTGGAAAAAAAACGTGGCTCAGTTGAGGTTACTATATATATATATATGGAAAAATAATAAATGTTCCAAACCACCAGCAGTTAATAGCTGTTCACCACTTTTTCATGGAAATAACTTGGGATTTTGGCCACAGTCTCTCCTCTCCTGTTGTTCCACCTTGCTATGATTCCGTGCCTGGACCTAAGCCCCCTGCGAGTCGCGCAAAACCGCGCCTTGTTCAACCAAGGATCTAGTGGTTTGAGTCGCTGCAAAATCTCTTCCGTCCCAAGAATCTTGAAGTCACCCAGATGTCCAGATCCATAACCCAGACCTCACGACATATTGGGCGGTTGGATGGCGCTAGGACTGGGTGACTGGCTCCTCATTTAATAAGGAAGATGAATTTAGATACCCCTACAGGATGGTGCCCAGTTATGTTTGCTGGTTTATAACCTCATCGAAATATACGAGTAATTGCTGGTTGGTGGTTGAGCTCGCCACCCCTCTGAAAAATGATGGAGTTCGTCAGTTGGGAATATTCTTCCCAATATATGGAAAGTCATAAAATTCATGTTCCAAACCACCAACCATAGTAATTGTAAGTATCACACACTATTGTTATTATAGTTATAAATTGGTTATAAGCCCATTAACATCCATTAACTATAGATAAATATCACCAACAAAAACCACAGTTATTATAGTTATATACACCAACTTGGCGAACTACGGGGCCCCATCCTGTAGCTCGGACTCCCTCCACTGCATGACATGCCTCCGTACAGAGACGCTTGGCGGCTTAGCCCCTGACCATGTTGTCTTTCAACCATGGATGTGTTTTTGTTGGTGATATTTATCTATAGTTAATGGGCTTATAACAAATTTATAACTATAATCAGAATAATCAAACAACTTCATACCATCAGTCAGTTCAACCACATCGAAACAGAGAAAAGCAGCAGCGCTTTCTTTCCTTTGTCACTTCCATTGCCAATTGCTGACTTCGCAGGCTGCCCAAATTCGGGATCAGACCTCTATGATATCTGGCCGAAGGAGCCGAAGGATCTCTGAGGGTAGTGGCCGCACTTTCGAAGCCTCCCTAAACAAGTTGGCTCCAAGAAATTGAAGAATTAGTAAGACTATAGAATTCAACCTCAAAGAAGAAGGCTCCCTAATTCTAAGAAAAGTAAAAGTTATAAATTCTATCAGACACGAGATGTGCCAAGAATGCGATGGGATACCTGGAGTCCACCTCCCAGCTCCATTATGGTCCGTCTCGACTCCTTCGCTGGCTCCACTATACGATGGGATAGGAGTCCACCTCCAAACTCCATTATGGTCCACCTCGACTCTTTCGCGAGCTCTGTCTTCCTCGATGACCTCTTTGTACCTATCTGAGGTCAGCCACAGCATCGACTGCAATCTGTTTGCACCCGTGAGTGGTGCTTCAAAAAAACAACGCGGCCTTCCATTTCCCATCTGGATAGAACGGCAATCAAGTCATTGGCCCTTTTCAATCCACATGCCTTTTGCAAATCATCGGTACTCAGGCCGTTCCGAGCTTGGGAGAGTATTTGCCACAGTACGTCCGCTAGACGTGATTCATCCGTGATGTCTGACACAAATGTGGAACTTTCGGAAAAGGTCACATCATCATCGAGCTCAACCAGCTGTCCATCCTCCATTGCACCACAGCATGGACATGGCGCATGGGAGCACACCTCGCAAAGAACGCAACGTGGAACGCAGCGACAACGGAGCCACTTACATCATGCAATGTGCGGCGATGAGATATCGCATCGCGAGCAGCACCAGATGCCATCATCTGTCGAGCAGGTCGGCATCTTGGGTGTTGTTTTTAAAATGGTAGTGCTGCAGCCTGTCTGAATCTATCTGTGCTGTGAGATCCATGTATTTGGGATCCCATCAATGTGCTTCAAGAGTTTGAACTGTTATTTGTTTCACTGCGAACATTGTTTGCGTCAGTTGATACTTGTAGTATCCTTCCGACTGGCATGACAGCTGCTTCCTTGAACAAATCGCTTAAGCACAGTTTCATCAGCATGCTCAAGACTTTTTCCAACAGGGATAAAATCCGAAAGACTGTAGCCACCCCATTGTTTGAACCGCACTGGGAGGAACGATTCAACGCAGTTTTGGCTCGGAAACATCAACAGGCTTGGGGGGTCATATCAGGTTCACCAACAATGCGGAAAAAAAAAAAACATTGGGGAGAATCGTTGGGCTATCATAGATCTGTTGCAATTAGAATCAGTGCGATTTAACCAAAAGAAACAGGAATATAGTTGGAATAGCTTCTGTTTTTTAAACTAACAACCAGTTTTTCAACAGGATAGATGACCTTCAAATAGTACATGGTCAACCTTTCTGTCAGACCCAGATAGTAAAGGTCAACCAATCAGTTCTTGATGACCCCTTCAACCATTCCATACAGATTCACAGGTTTCATGTGGATCAGCTGAGGCGCTCTGCATCTTCTGAACGAAGGTCTTGTTGGTATTGAAGACCTTGGATTTGTACAGGACCACAACAAAAATCATGCATCCCAAAAGAACATTCCCCTGCAGTGATGGCCATGGCTATTTGTTATAACAGTTATAACTGGTTATTTCTGTGGGATTATACATTCTATAAATGGGGTTATAACTGGTATTTCTGGCCATAACTGTGTTATGATAAAATGGATAAAATGGATCCCTAAATATGAGGAAACACTGTGTTATCAATGTTAGATATACATGTTGATATACCCTGTATCTTAGTAAAGGCTGGCAATTTCATCATCCCATCCCGCAACAAATGGCGAATCCAGAAACTCACACCGTCGCAAGACACCAACGTCTTGCTGCCAATACACCAAAAAGACATCAGGATCCAGTGGTTTGAGCAGTTCTTCCTCGATCCTCTTCAGGACCACGTCCTTAGATCCCAGATGTCGGTAGACATACGGGACAGGTAAAAGCTGTCTGATTAGACACAAGCCATGCAAGTGCTAAGTGGCTGTGCGGCGATGCGTCAGAATTTGTAAATGTCACCCATGAATCGCACTATTGACCTACAGACAGCTTGCAACACCAGGAAAATCGTAGCCGTGGTTCATGTTCTGCATGGCTGGAACCCACCATGTTTCAGGAAAATTGCCAGGTAAGGGTTTGATCCTGCTACAAGACCCCATATTTGTTCGTGTCAATGTCCCAGTTTCAGGGCTACCAGGTGTGAATCCCTATCTTCAATTACTGCAAAATGCTGGAATATTACAAATCCAAGTATGTAACTTTCTCATATTTGATTGATTCTTTGATCTGAGCAAATTCACGATTATTTGAAGAATTTGAAGAGTCTTGTCATAAATGATGATAAAAACCATTTCGTAGTGGGGGTGATTTCCCTTGCATTTCGCATCACAATGGGCCCCGTGGGGTCGTCGCGAGGTTGTGGAAATGCCAGCCATTTAAGGCCAATTTGGCCGATCCAGTCATCCAGACACCTGGCAAACAGGCAACTAACTAACCCCAAAATATCATGTTTGGTACAATGTGGGGCCCCCAAACGGTATGTTTGTTGGTTTATAAACACCAGTAAGTATAGTTATAAGATGTTATAAGATGATACAAAATTTTATAAGATCTTATAAGATGATAGAAGTACTATAAACCATAGTTAATTATTGGAGTTATGTTCACCAACTTAGCAATCTTGGAGGCCCCACATTGTAACATCACCCTGGTTAACAATTTCAAAGGTAACCGAAAGGCTTTTTGGGATTGGTTATACCATGGACACAAATCCCAATCTATGGCCGTGAAAATGCTGGAAACAATTGGAAACAACAATTTTTCAACCACAGTTATGGCCATTTATTAGTTATAAGTACTAAGAAAACCCCATAGAAATAGAATGTTTCTCATCCCATAGAAATAACCAGTTATAACTGTTATAAGCATGGCCATAACTGCAGCAGGTTACCCCATTTGTCCAACGTTTCCACCCATGGCCATCCCTGGCCGAGCATCCGCATGCAGTGCCCGCAACTGTCCAATGAAGACCACGGCGACGGATTTGTTGCGCGGCGGAAGTGGGGTAAACACCTGGCCGAGTAGAGGATGGTAGGGGATGGAAAATGGCCATTAATAGTGGATTTTCCCATTAACAATGGTGATTTTCCATAGTTATGTTAGTTTACCAGAGGGTAGTGGATGGTAGATGATGGTAGAGGATTGTACCATCTGGTTATGACTATAACATAGCCATGGAAAGATCCACCATGCTATTAATAGGTAAACCATCTATTTCTATGGGCCATCTATACCATGGCTATGTTAAATAACCAGAGGGTAGATAAAATTGTAGAGAATTAGAGAATGTTACAGAGTGGTAGAGGAAGGCAGAGGATGGTAGCTTTATGTAGCTTTAATCTTTCATGGGTTTACCCCATTTTATATTGGGAATATCTGCCAGAAAGGGTGTCTGACATTATCTAACTGTCTAACTAATGTAAATGGGGATACATATATAATCAGTAAGTATTTCATCATATTTCTTGAATCATCTCTTTGCAATCGACTGGATCATGAATTTCCATAGGGATTCTCAAGAAAACCGGCTCGGATTGGTTTGCACCATTGCCCTGGCGGGCTAAGGTTAACATATTCCATGGAAAAGCGGCTCCAGACTTCACCATTTCACCCTTTACCAAGATTGGTTTCCATGTTCAACCCCTGACGTACAGCATTTGAATCTCATTCTTTTTCTCCAAAGATGGAGAAAAAGACACAGGCCACAAACTTGGGTCAACCACATGGGGTTTGTCCATGGGGATACCCAAACTATATCAATGGGGACACTGAGAAAAACATGGGATTTTGGGGTACGGTAAAGCATTTTCAGACGAAGCCATATTCCCCAAATGGTGGATGTGACCTTGAAGAAAAACTCATAAAAATGACCCTCCGGTTTCACTGAACATGGCTGGAAAATTCCACCATTGAGTTCGATAATTTTCCCAGCTAACCATGGCTGACTAATGGATCCCTGTTCCCACGGATAGCAATGGATTTTATACCCCAATAAATATCCCATGGATTCCGTTTTTTTTGGTCTAATGGGATATATATGGGATATTTTAACCATTTATGATCCCAAAAAGAAGACCATATAAAACCATACCATGTTCCTATGAAAAAAACATGTCGACCCCCCCCCCTCTGAGTCTCGCAGATAGACCTTCCCTTGGATCAACTCCATGGCTTGGGATAGTTGAGATGTTTGCTGGTGAAAACTCCCAAATTCTTGGCGCTTAAACCAACTTGTTGTTGGTCAAATGAAATTCTGGGTCAGATGAAATTGATGAAATCCCAAATCATTGCCAATCTGAGATACCCTGCAAAAAATGACAAATTCTTTGCTGGTGAACGTAGATATTCCCATTAATACCAAAAGACTAGTTAGGATTAAAGTATCCATGTAAGATTGAGCTAGAAATTTTGCTGACCATGTTGAATGCGTTTGCAGTTGCTAAGTCCCCAGTTCTTCGGGGTTCAATAAGCCAGAATCTATTTGGTGTTAACATGTGCGGTGGTTACAGTGGCAAAATAAAAATAATTGTGCTTAAGCCCCCCAGTGGTAAAATCCCTATATTTGGTACTAAAAAGGTGGTTAAATGGGTGAAACATGGTAAACGAGATATAATTCCCGTGCCTTTGCCGTTTGATCTCTCCATATTTTGTTGTTGTGCATACCCTCTGGCTATTTAACATAGCCATGGAAAATGGTCCATTTATAGAGGATTTATGATGATTTACCTATCCAAAATGGTGATTTTCCATAGCTACATTAAATAACCAAAGGGTAATTATAAAGCCATGCTTATCTATACTTTGTGGTTCACCCCAGCTAGCAACTGGTTTGCACCCCTCAGTTAGAAGTGGACTAACCCTACTTACCCTACCAATACCATGTGCTTATTTATTACTATGGAAAATCAGCGTGGAATTAATAGGTACATCATCATAAAACGAACTAAATGGGCCATGGCTTCCGTACGTTGAATAACCAGAAGGCATTTTCCATCTTCCAAGTTGACTGACAACTTGGTTAACTATGGTTTATGATGTATATAATTACAATGTGGGCCCCTCTAGTTATATTGTGGTTTATAACCCCCATGAATTCTATAGTTATTTGCGCATCATGAAACATAGTTATTGGAGGTATGTTCACCAACTTAGCTATCGTAAACGGGGGCCCACATTGTATAGTCTCTATAGTTAATGCTGGTTGGTGGTGCAATAACCATCTTGAAAAATATGAGTTCGTCAATGGTTGGCGGATTATCCCATATATGAAATGGAAAATAAAATTCATGCTTGAAACCACCAACCAGATATGGATAGAATGGGAATACCATGGAATACCACAATTGGTATATTATAGACAATTGGTATATCTATCGGTTTAGTAAAGTTTAGTCACCCTGTCATAACTGGGGCTTTAGAAACCAACTCATAACTGGGGCTACCCTCTGGTAAACTAACATAACTATGGAAAATCACCATTTTTTAGAGAAAAATCACTATAAATGGTGATTTTCCATAGTTATGCTAAATTACCAGAGGGTAACTGGGGCTACAACCTATACTTCCCAACTCCAGATTTTCGCATCGCCCAGTGCCTGCAGTCGATCTTCTGCAGCCGCTGCTGCTTTGGCCTTGGCGAACGCCTTCAAGCGACCTCAGCTCTGAGCAGAACGGGGGGTTCAGAGTTTTCCCGTCCTTGGAGAATGGAATTTGCCTCATGTATTGGTATACCCTCTGGTAATTTAAAATAGCTATGGAAAATCACCATTTATAGTGGATTTACCCATGAAAAATGGTGATTTTCCATAGTTATGTTAGTTTACCAGAGGGTAACCTCAAAGTACTCAGTCGACTGAACATTTCTCATTTGTGGATGACCCTCCATAGTTTAAAGCTGAAATCAGCCCTTTTCTTCTAATCAATTGGGCTTTTTTTGTCAATGTTTGAAGCAAAAAAAACACAGAGCCGCCTGGCGAATCTTTTGGATTGACCAAACAGCCAACGATTGTCGAAAAGCCCAATTTCGCCCAATGATGCCAAATGGATGTGGGTCAAAATGGAAGACCTAGGGGACCATAGATGTTGGTCTAGTTTAGTATGAACCATCCAATTAATTATTGGGGTACCTAATTTTGACCCATACCCAAATGTGTGTGTGTCAGATTTTGTCTGAAAATAGGGTATTTGGATACCACAAGTCATGTCATACTTTGTCAGAAACTTTGTCATCATGGCACATATCGAGGGTTAATCCCCATGTTCAGAACTAGCCAATGTGACTTAGATATGGTTGATTTATCTCATGTTCGGACCTGCCCAATTGGTGATGTGGTACTGTATACCCCATCAATGTTGGCCCAACATTGAGACCTACTCAACTTGTATTGGTATCAACGAATCATCCAATGCTTGACTATTGGTGTACTGACTACCCAATCTTGACCTATACCGGATTTGTCTTAGTTATACCACCTGAATGTGTGTAATAGTTTTATTAGATTGGCTACATCAGGAGTGTTCAAAGGTGGATAAACATTGAACTGTTAAACCCACCAAAGGTTTCCAACCGTGTTGCTTTTGTTTAGATTTATTTGGGTCTTCACGGTCCTGTGTATTTGCTTTTTTAGCATTACATAAAAGTTAAACGCGTTAAACCCACAGTTAAAGCCCTTTGCCACTTACTTTTATGGTTAGGTTTATGGGCTTATCATTCCATAAATGGGATTATAACTAATTAATTGAATAAAATAAACTGATAACTGGCGTTTCGGGCCATATACAATACATAACGGCATCATCCTTCATGTTAAACCCCATTTTCCGGCCATGTCTGCCCAAGAGCAGCAGCTTGACACCAACGAGGCTACCTCGTTGGGCCAAGCAACCATGGGCTGCATGGGGTCACCATGGATTGATTGGAACATCTACAGGAAACAGTATGGAAACCGTGGAATTTTGCGTGATTTTGCCTCTTAAATATCTGGTTTGCATGGGTTTTCCTATCTTCATCCATTTCCGAGACACAACCCTAAACATTCCCAAGTCGAGTGTTTGATAGATTAAACTGGGTTGCACATCCAATTAAGACAAGGTATCACAGGTAGATGCCTGTCATTGAACAAATGAAGCCAGGAATTTGAATAATATTCCACAATGTTCCAAGGTTTTGCACATGAAATCCCATAAAAAATCATGCAAAATCATGCAAAGCATGGGGCCCCCGGTCGAGCTCGCGTTCAGTTGCCGAAAAAAAGTGGCGAAGAAACTATATGGTTTATGATGTTTATGGTAGATATAAGGAACTGGTTAATGGAGGTGTTTTCATGGTTTATAAACCAACAAACATATCTGGGAGGCCCCATCCTGTACCAACTGGTGCAGGATTTCTTCCATCGCATGTACAGTTGGGTATCCATTCATCTAAGTTGGGGATGTTCCATCAATCTCAGTGGTTACATCACTATCATATTACCCTCTGGTAAGTTAACATAGCCATGGAAAATCAACATGTTTTTTGAAAATTCTATATCAACGGCCATTTTCAATAGCTATGTAAACGTTTACCAGAGGGTAAACCTCCATTTTCTTGTGGTTTTCCTGTGGTTTTCCTATGGTTTTCCTGTGGTTTCTGGGAAAAATCCTCATTCGCATCCGAGACTGGCCATCTTGACGTATAGAGGCCCAGAAACTTGATCATGGGACTAAGTCATGGTCATCCATGACGACTGGATGACTGGGGTAGCCCTATTCCTAGGAAACCTCCATATCACTGAGCGGCGTCGAAAACCGGGTAGCGATTTGGTTCTAATCCTTATAAGCTTTCGCGACGGCTTTCGCGGTTCTTTTGCGCGCACAGTTCTGGCTTTCGCGGCGACATGTATTTCGTAATATCTTTCGCGGTTGCTTTCGCGGAAAATTGCCCGTAAATGATGGTGCACATGTATACCTAGAGACTCGAGCGGCATCAAAATTTTGATGCTGGTCTAGCAAAACAGTGTTTCATCTGATTGCCGCTGAAATTTCTGGCATGCGCCGTTCTTTGGGAAACAAATATGGTTTTAGATTTTGGTGTTGGAATGCGCCGTTTTTGCCAATGATTGCACCATTTTTGCCCGTGATTGCGCCGTCCTTGCCCGTGCAGAATTTCCATTGCGCCGTTTTTGTGGAATTGCGCCGTGTTTTCTACATTGCGCCATTCTTGTGGACTTGCGCCTGATTTTTTTGTAGGTTGGGAATGCGCCCGAAATTTTGGATACATGAGTCTTTAGGTATTTAAATGTGCTTCTACTATCTACCTGCTTTCGCCACTGCTTTCGCGGCTCGACCTTGACGCACTCCTTTCGCGGAGCTTTCGCGCGGCTTTCGCGCGTGAAGGTTTGGCTTTCGCGGGGGGTTCCCCACATGAACCCGAATACTAAATCCCTTCATGGAGGTTTTTGATGCTGCTCTATTATGTATATATATATACATATTATATGTATACTGTATATGATATATATATATATTTATACTGTGTATATTTTGGTCTTGTGGTGGCTGAACATGATTTCAACAAAGCCTTGAAAGTGAAACCAACTGATTTGGTTGGACTAATTGAAGCCCCAAACCTGGATGGTTGATGCTGTGAACTGCCCATGTTCTCTCTATGCTTTGGGGATTGAAGTTTCTATAAACTGGTGCCCCAGTTTGTTATCATGGCTAAGTTGGTAAACATAAGTCCAAGAACTAGGGTTGGTGCTAGATATATTGGAAGTTTCCTAAAATGGGGGTACCCCTAAATCATCTATTTATAGATGGATTTTACATGAAATAAACCATCCCAGCTATTGGGAATCCTCCATGACTATGGAAAACCCCATATATCTATCCTGAATGGAATTTATACACCAACAAACACCACTGGGAGGCAACAAAAATAGGGGGATGCCAATTCAAAGCACTCGTCAATGGGTACAAACCACACTTTGATGTGCATCGAGTTAAGTGCTTAATTCGATGCATTGCCAATTTCAAGAGGGGTTTAGGTGGGTTTAGTATTGTTTATCCCCATGTAGTGTTTAGCTTTATCCCATTTTCTTATCTTTATCATTCTTTATCCCCAATGTGTTTCGCATGTTTTAAAGTGTTATATCCGTTTATCCCCATGTTTTTTTATTTAAATACTGTTTTCATGTCTCTCCCTATATTCGAAAATGATCAATAAATGCTGGTTGGTGGTTGAGTCACCCCTCTAAATAATATGACTGCGTCAGTTGGTATGATGAAATTCGCAACTGACTGGAAAGTCATAAAATTCCATGGTTCCAAACCACCAACCAGATAAATCAGTGTTAATCCCTAGTTCAAATCCCTATGAAATCCATATAAATCACTGGGGAACTAGTCATGGCAAGAAAACCGCATTCCCATTTTTCCGGGTTAATCGGTGAATCCCCATGTCCGACTGTCAAAAAACAGGGTGCCAAAAAGGTCATCATGGTCATCCCCTGACCATTTTTCCAGGCTTTCCGAGTCACAACTTCCAGGTCGCAGATGCCTTGCCCGAGCCCGTCGAGCCCGTCGAGGGAGGACAGGGCCCAAAGGGCGCAAAGGCCCTGCGCCGAAAGCAGCAGGAGCAAAGAGCAGAAGCGATGCCTGACGTTGCTTTTCGAGGTCGGTGATGTTGATGAAACAAACATCAGGGAATCTGAGAAGCAAAAACTATGGTTTAGACAGCCAAAATTGGGAATATGATGTTTATGAATGTTTATGAAACAAACATAAGGGGATTGAAGAACAACTGGGGGAATTTAAACGACGATATTTGAGAATATACTGTGGATATAATGGGGAATTAGCTAAGAGGTTAATAAGTAATGCATAATACCCTCTGGTAAACTCACATAGCGATGGAAAATGGCCCATTTATAGATGGTTTACCTATTACATCTGGAGATGTTCCATAGTTTTTGGTAGGTTTACCATTAAAAATGGTGATTTTCCATCGTTTTTCCCATTAAACATGGTGGATCTTTCCAGTTCGCAAACTGTGAATGTCATTAGCAGAGGTTAATCGGTTTCGGTTTGGGGGTTCGCTATGAACAATGGGGATTTAATCCTCCATGGATTTCTTGGACACTACGCGTTTCGAACATCAGGATTTTAGCAATGAATATGTGGAAATGACCATAGAAATAGTGGATTTACCCATTGAACATGGTTATTTTCCATAGCTATGGTGGTTTTAACCATCTTGAATATGCTGGTTGCTGGTAAAATATCTAAGCAATCAGGATTTTTGGCGATTTTTTTTGGATATGTGCTGCTTGGTGGTGCAATAACCATCTTGAAAAATATGAGTTCGTCAATGGTTGCAATGGATGGTGGATTATCCCATATATTGTGGATCATAAAAAATGTTCCAAACCACCAACCAGAATATTTGGGATTGATCTGTGATTCACGCTAGCTTTGTTGCTGAACATAACTCCAATAGTTGCAGTTTTTTTCAGCAAAAAAAAGATGTATCCAACTCGTTAGTGCGGCTTATAAACCAACGTGTAATTTGTTTTTACCCATAGCAGATGATTGAGTAATGAGGATTGGATACTATTGTAGATCTATCACATATTACCCTCAGGTAATCAACACGGAAAAATCCCCACTACATGGAAGTTTAGATAGGAACGTTTTTCTATAAACGAGTGATTTTCCATTGCCATGTTTGACTACCGGAGTGTAACCTTTTATATCCCCCATGAAATCCATATAAAACCTAATCTGATTTTAACATGTTCAACCCCGTACGAAAAATGACAACAACCAATATTTGAAAACAACCAATACCCTCTGGTAAACTAACATAGCTATTGAACATGGCCATGTATAGTGTATTTTGCTAGTAAAATGGTGATTTTTCATAGCTATGTTAGTTTACCAGAGGGTACTCGAAAACAACCAATATTTGAGGGCACCAGCCAGATAATAATGGGCTGTGTCCCGCGTTGATCACCATATATTGCTGAAATATCATTGTATATCATTATAAAATTGGTTTGTATCACAAAAAAATATACCCAATATAACCCAATATACTTTAACCATGACTTTTAGTGGGTTCATCCATTTTCATCCAAACCAATTATTCCATTCACCATGAAATCTGACTGAATTAGCAAAACTCACTACCCTCCGGTAATGACTACCATAGCTATTGAAAATTGCCATAGAAATACTGGATGTTCCCATTAAACATAGTGATTTTCCATACTTGTTTGTAAACGTTTACTAGAGGGTAACTTGAAAATAGCTGTTCTCATACGGCCATTTGGGGATGATTCCCCATATATAAAGCATCATTCCAGGCACGGACAACAAGGTCATGATCAAATTCATACAGGTAATATCCAATTATATTCCATCATTATCATCGTGAGTTGGCTATATCAACATTATATCACCATAATATATCTTCATAATATGTATATATATATGTATTCATAATATATCTTCATAATATATCTTCATTATTCACTCCACTCACCATGCACTTGGGCTGAATTATGTTTGTCCACTAACTTAAACTTACAGATAAACATAGCTCTTATATCCCCTATTCCAATCATGTCTAATGTGGGTAAAACAATCATAATCCATCCCCCAAATCACAATGTTTATACGTCATGGGTGGTTGATGGCATTGTTTTACCTACATGAAAAATTAATGATAGACGATTTCCATTAGCATATCCTACCCATTTGCGAACCATGGTGCTGGAATATGCACACCAACATCTGCCCTTGTCCAAAATCACCCAGTTGTGTAGGTAAATATACGATACATGGAGCATATGGGATAGATACTTGACCATTATACCATCATTATACGCTATATTATAGGGGATATTCTCCGAACTTAGCTAGGGACGTTTTGCCGACATCCCAACCACATGATAATTTAATCCCTATTGTAATCCTATACTATTTCATTGGGATTACTACCATTATCAAATAGACAAATAGATAGCTCCTATATCCCCTATTCCAGTCATGTCTATATACTCCCTATTGTTGATGTTTACCCTCTGGTTATGACTAACCGTCTGCCATGGAAAATCACCATTTCTAATGATGGATTAGTTCGATGGTTTATCTATTGGAAATGGTGGATCTTTCCATGGCTAGCCCTGGCAATGTCATAACCAGATGGTAAATTCCACATATAAATGGGGTTTTCTTAGTACTTATAACTAATAGCCATGGCCATAACTGGGGGTACCACATGCTACCATTTCTAATGATGGAAAGATCCACCATTTCTAATGATGGATTATAGATGGTTTACCTATTGCACCAGATGGTAAATTCCATCATCCCACCTCTGGATCTCCCCATCGTCACCTCCTGCAGCATCGATCTCCGCCACCCTCCGTCGGCAACACGGCAGAGGCATCGGCGGCAAGGCCGGCATTGCCAACGCCGAAGAGGGTCGGCGACAAGGCGCGGCGCTGGGATAACATGAGCCATGGCCCCCTTTTTCAGGGGGTGGATGATGGAGGTTTTACATGGTTTTACCAGCAAAAATGGGTGAAACAAATTGGAATTGAAGTGATTTTAAGTGATTTAACCAAGAAAAATGGTGTTCACCATGCTTTAGCAGCCAATTTCTGAGTGTCGATTTGTTGGTGAAACATGTGGGATTTTTTCAGCGACAATCCCATGGCACTGAAGTGATGAAATCCGTCGACGTTGGTGGTTGAGCCTACCCCTCTGAAAAATGATGGAGTTCGTCAGTTGGGATTTTGACGTTCCCAATATATGGGGAAAAAAAACATGTTCCAAACCACCAATCAGTTACAGTTGGATGGGTGAACATTAGCATACGGTGGCTAAGTTGCACCTTCAGGGGCTCACATGAACTAAAATTCCATATGGAATCAAGGCACATCATTGTATCTCAACATAGCCCGGGTTCGGGGCCAATCCAAAAACGTGAAACCAAAACGATCCAAAACGGCTGCTACTGGGAAGAGTTCATACCAAGTGGAAGGCTGAAATTCTAGGGGCTGTACCGAACCCCATAATGGCCAAATGTAGTAAAATCTTTCTTGGGACCCCATTGATGCTATGTTAGAAGTAGGGTACCTAACCAACAAACTTTGGACGTATGTCTTGGGAATTATTCTCATCCAATCTTGACCATCAATGTTACCATCTGGTTATTTAACATAGCCATGGTATAGATGGCCCATTTATAGATGGTTTACCTAGTAAAAATGGTGGGTCTTTCCATGGCTATGTTACTCATAACCAGAGGGTAATGCTAAATCCCCCGATTTACAAGCATGAAACTTGATGCTTTCCTCATGGTTCGGAAACCCTTGGATTTCATATCCAGGAACCCCCAAGTAGGAAGATGTGTGTTTTCTTTTCACGATGATTCCCCATTTCTAGATTAGAGTCTAATGTTGGTAAAACAACCATAAACACCATAAACCATCTCCCAGTCATCACCATGTTTTTCCGGTGCTATGTAGAAACCATTCCCAGTCATCGGATGGATCAACCGCAAACGTGGTAGTAGCTCTCAGTTAGTCGCCCACTGGGGATGAAACGATCGGATCCAGATCAAGGCCCTTTAAAAACTGAGTTCTTGTGACACAACATTGTGATGCCCCACAATGATCAGTCTATCAATCCCACTACTAGTTACTCTATATATATATATAATGTATATATATATATGTAAATATGTATACATACATATAATTGTGTATATATGTATAATTATACATGTATATTACTATAAGTCATATATATATATATGTAAATATGTATACATACATATAATTGTGTATATATGTAAAATTATATGTATATTACTATAAGTCATATATATATGTATGTATAAATACATAAATATATATAATTACATACATAGATTCACCACAACCCGGAGCTAAGCTAGTTTTAAAGCAGCTTATCTAACAAACCAAGGCATCAACTTCTCCTTGATCCACTGGTCAGCCACTCACCACCCCGGTGCGAGGAACGACTGCAACTGTGGAACTGCCGCAGCAGCGTGCAGCTGTTGAGATAGAGAAGATCTGCTGAATAGCCTCAGGAAAGAGGGAAGGAGCTCCATTTTTACCCTCTGATTATGACTAACATAGCCATGGTTAAGCCATGGCCCATAGAAATAGATGGTTTACCTACTAATAGCATGGTGATTTTCCATGGCAAACTGTTAGTCATAACCAGATGTTACTTGAAAATGGGGGCGGACGAGTTCTCTGAACCCACAAAAAAAAATGCAATTTCAATAGAGAAATCAGGATGATGTTCCGCGAGAGAAAAAAAATAGATCCAAGGTGGTGGCTACCAAGGTTATAATCACCATAAACCTTACTTAAACCAGTCATAAAAATGTTGTAAAGCAACTGTAACTATATAATAATAAGCAATAATAATAATAATAGTTAATAATAATTAATAATAATAATAATAGATATACATATGTATCTATTGGGACAGGAACGTGTACCCGATGTTCATACAAACCCACCTTAGCCATGCTTCAGCTACATGGGTTCATATGGGGTATGTCATCCATCCGATGCCATGGGAATCCTTACAGAATCGCTATGACAATACCTATAAATGGTGGTGTGACTATCCCCATGGCCCATCCAGCTTTTGG